CAGGACCGACCGCAGGGCCCATTCACATGGAACCGCATTCGGCTGTTTCACTCAGTGCGGTCGGTCATTTTATTCCCTCCATAAGTTTCCTGAACCCCTGGTCTGATCTGGGTGATTTTTGGATATGTTGTTCACCCAGATCAGGGCTACCAGGGGATGTATGATTTACGTTTAGGGGTACATCCAGAAACGGTGGGAATTACTGTACTGGATAAGGGGATTATGATGCTGGCTGAGGGGAGGAGATGTGTGGGAGGTTACCAGGACAGGATTGGCTACTGTACAAATGATTGTAATCCCTCCCTTGCATGGGAGCATGCTTTAAAAGGCCAGTGTGGAATAAAGCTTTCAGTTCTGCTCCTGAAACTGTGTGTCGTCCAGTTATTGGGATTGCTGTTGGGATATTGCTGTTATTTTACCTGCTGGAAACCTTGCCTGTGGATTTACAGTTTACTTGTTCCTGAGCCTCACTTGGATTATAAGCGGAGATAACCTGGGGAATATTGCATCTCCGCTACAGAGAGTCCCTGCTTGAACTAGCATGCCGCTACAGGACCATTACAACCTTTTGTCCCCGGGAACATGTACGAGAAAAGACATAACCTCGATTTCCCCCACTCCAACCTGCATGAATGATGGCATGTGCTATACATGGGAAGGTCATCACTCTTACCCTCCAGTGCACGGGATGGCGCTACGTGTGTGTTGGAGAGCTGGATGTCTCACTAACAGGGTCATACAGATAGCAGCCCACGTCTCCGATGTTCACACCTGGAAGGAGAGTAACCGGACTAAGGATCAGAATGTAGATGGTCGTGTGAAATCTAGACTGAATTCCAGGAACCAGCATTTCTAATCTGGGTTATTCAAAGTGAATTGCAAACTCTTAAATGTGAATTTAGAATTCTCACTTTAGTGAATGTGTTTGGATACAGATTGCTTAGCCTTCAGGTTCCTGCTCGGGATAACATACAGGTTGTGTGAGAGTAGATGGAAAGCGGACACTCAAGGAGCAGTGTCTACAGTAGTCACACAGCGTTTTGACAGTGTCAACTGTCAGGAATTCAACATGAATTTAGAATTTTAGGTGATTATCACCAAGAGGAAACATTTTCTATGTCTGCTACATATTCATTCTCGCTCTTTCAGTCTAGAATTTAAAATTTGAATTATTAAACAATTCCCACTCCCTGCTGCATTACAAGACAGTCACTCTACATGAGAGAAGCAGGTATAAACCGGTAACAAAGTCCGGCCTTGGATCGTGAGTCAATGTGACCCATCTAGAGTAGGGATCCTTGTATACTCCATCAGAACGACCTGCCTGGGATAAGGCTCCTTGTATACTCCCATCAGAATGACCTGCCTGGGATAAGGCTCCTTGTATACTCCCATCAGAACGACCTGCCTGGGATAAGGCTCCTTGTATACTCCCATCAGAACGACCTGCCTGGGATAAGGCTCCTTGTATACTCCCATCAGAACGACCTGCCTGGGATAAGGCTCCTTGTATACTCCCATCAGAACGACCTGCCTGGGATAAGGCTCCTTGTATACTCCCATCAGAACGACCTGCCTAAGATGGGGACTGCTCTATAATAACAATTTTACAAGAATTCATTTCTTAAACAAAACATCTGGCTGTAGGCTCACCTTTAGGGCCAAATAGATGTCCATAGCGGGAACATGGCAGTCTGACGGCCCATCATGCTAAATAAAACAAACAAATTCATTAGGGCCAGCTGCTACCAGGGGCCAATTAAAATAGGGAGCCAGCTGCTACCAGGGGCAGTCCATTAAAATCAGGGCCAGGTGCTACCAGTGGCAAAGTCCATTAAAAATCAGGGCCAGCTGCTACCTGAGGGGCCAGAGTCATTCATCGATTAGCCATACCAGGGACCAAGAGTCCATTACCAGGGCCAAGGTCCATTAAAATTGGGGCCAGCTACCAGGGCCAAGTCCATTAAATTGGGGCCAGCCCGCTACCAGGGCCAGAGTCCATTAAAATCGGGGCCAGCCGCCACCAGGGGCCAAGAGTCCATTAAAATTGGGGCCAGCCGCTACCAGGGGCCAAGAGTCCATTAAAATTGGGGCCAGCCGCTACCAGGGGCCAAGAGTCCATTAAAATTGGGGCCAGCCGCTACCAGGGGCCAAGAGTCCATTAAAATTGGGGCCAGCCGCTACCAGGGGCCAAGAGTCCATTAAAATTGGGGCCAGCCGCTACCAGGGGCCAAGAGTCCATTAAATTGGGGCCAGGAGTCCATTAAATTGGGGCCAGCTGCTACCAGGGGCCAAGAGTCCATTAAATCGGGGTCAGCTGCTACCAGGGGCCAAGAGTCCATTAAATCAGGGCCAGCTGCTACCAGGGGCCAAGAGTCTACTAAATCTAGGCCAGCTGCTACCAGGGGCCCAATAAATGTTCACATACCTCTGCATGCCCTCCCGAGGTCAGGGTTTTATTGCAGCGCTGACAGCGCAGACACGGCCTGTGCCAGTTCCTGCCAAGCGACATCACCTTCTCGGCTGCAGATAAAGCAAACATTAGTCACATGCTGAGTGTAGATACAGTGATAGAGATTTAAACTTTGCTAATTATTAATGGTGTGACAGGATCTCCAGAATTAAATGTCACCAGACGGCCAGTAGTAAGACTCCCAGCCAGTAACGGCTCTGGCAGAGGAGGGAGACCCACAAACCTACCGCACTGAATGGCTTGATACCACGGTTATTGCTACAAAGAGTGGTAACAAGATCCAACATCCTTCCGTTGGCAGTGTGTCCAACTCACCAAAATAAACCACTTTCCCACAGCCCTGGCACAGGGCCGTCTCCCCGGCAAATGTCTTCACCAAAGCCAGAGCTGCAAAATAAGGACAGAAAAAGAAAAAAAAAAAAAACACTGGAAATTAAGAAACCAAGCACTAAACACTCCTTCTGAAGCCCACCATAACAGGTGGCATCTCTGTTCAGCTGCCACGGACCCTCCAAGGCTCGCACTTAGTCATTTTTATATAGGGCTGGCTAGAAGCGTATAATAATAATAATAATAATAATAATAATAATAAGGCAATAATCAGAGGGAACGGTTATCATCTTCACGTTTTCCATTCATTTCACAAATAAGTGGTAAATCAATCTCAGCGTGGGAGCCTTGGGTTATACCGCCCTCCAGGAGGTGGATCCAAGAACAGACTTGCCCACTGCAGGGACAGAAATCATACTCACCCTTCGTGGTGGACTTTGGGCCAATGGAAGTCGGAGGGCTGCAAACAGACACAGGGCTCTGTGCAGTTTGTGGTACCGTATCATAGATATAGGATCCAACACCCCCAATGTTGACTCCTTAAAAGAATACAAAGAAAAAAAAAATAAAGAAAAAAAAATAAAAAAAAATAAAAGAATGCAAAGAAACCGGCTTAAAATGCGCTAATTTCCAGAACTGGATATTGAAACAGCTCCCACTGAACCCTAGAATATAGAATTATTAACATGCCATTATTTTCCATAACTCTGCAGAATAGATTTGAGATAAGTTCAACTCCCAAGTTTGATTTACAGGAACTAGAGGTAGTGAGAGGTTGGTTCAAAGTGCTCCATTAAATAAGGGAAAGTGCGTTAAATCACACAAACCGGTAAAAGGTAGAGTCATGGTTTAATATTACAACAGATTGCAGTAATAGGATGTAGTTTGACAGCTTTGTCTGTACATAGTGTATAAGTAGGAGTAATCGAAGATACAGGTAGACACGTTAACGGGTTAGTAGATATTTATTTCTAAAAAGAGGTGGGTCAGTAAGATTTTAGAAAGGTTTTCAAAAAGTCGGGGAAAGTTTATGTGACTGGCAAAAAGAAATCCACCTGAAAACAGGTGAGAACCAAGGTGTACGTCATCAGCAGAGTGGAGAGGTCTGGCTGCAATGCTCATTATATATTAAAGGGGTTTTCAATGCCAGAACTAGACAAGGGGAGCAGGTTCCAGTGTCAAGAAGAGCAATGAGAAGATACGGACATTGACCGGACATGGGCAGTGAAAGAAAGGCTGGAGGACACCAAGGCTTTAAAGAACCACAAATAAAACGTGTGTATATGTTACCGATTTAGTTTACTAAACTTACCTTGATTCCAGTAATGTTATATGCAAAGTATCCGGCGTACATTCAGTTATTGAATCGGTTTTAGTCGGCAGCTCCTAGCGACTGTCTGTGCGTCAGCCAGTATAAGGTGTGGAAACTGCGCGGATTCTCAGAAACACACTGCTTATTAGTCTTCAGACCTCCAAACGCTCAAAATCAGGGGCACCATCTGCAAATCCCACCACATGAGCAGAGACATAACCCATTGGTATGAGAGGCAGGAGGTGAAACTCCTAAATATCTGGATAACAGGGCTTGTAGGCAGCGTTGCAAGCTTGGCTTCAAAGGAATATTAGGTCAGTGTGAGATTTAAACAGAAATGTCGTCAGGGATGGTAGCATAGCAACATAACTACTTCAATAAACAGAGACAACTATGTGCCTAGGCTGCCCGTCACAGAAATATCTGAAGAAGAGGTAGTACACTGTTCTTCCAGGGGGTTACTAGTTATTCCAGTCCCTATGACCACATCTGCTTTTAGAAGTGGTTATGGTGCAAGCAATCTGTGTGTGTAGGTGTTACAGCTTGAAACGCGGTCTATAGAGAGAGATCTGCCGTTTGGTGACTTGGTCAGCCCAGGATTTTATTTCAGACTGACTAATGTGAATCCTGTGCAAAAATGACATCTGATATCAGCACACGCAGAGCGCTGGTGACAGACATATTCAGTTCCTTCGTTTCGAGGCAGTACGCTGATCCCACACAATCTGGGCGGGGGGGGGGGGCTGGTAACTGATTATAGAAAGAAAGGAGGAGGAGACTGCGCCCCAGACAGTATAATGAAAAAAAATAAATAAATCGTATACAAGTCTGTTGTGGTATTATATATACACCGTTGACATCAAAAACAAAAAAAGACATGAAAGAATAATAGTGCAATATGCTATATTCAGTGAGTGAGTATTCAAGTATTCTTATAAAAAGGTGTCACTCACATTTACCAGAGCTAACTCAGAGCTAACTCAGAGCTAAGGATATATGTGGAGGTTGGCGTCTTTGGTAGTCTCAGGTAAAGTGCAATATGCAGGTCATATATATATAAAAAAATATGGAGAGATAATCCAAATAGTGAAGTAAGTACTAGAAGATGTATTAAATAAAAAAATAAAGTAATGTACTCACATTTACTAAAGCAGAACTCCTCCTTTCTTTCTATATTTTAAACACTCACAAGGTTGGGAATCCTTGTACTGGTTACCGCTGCCCATCCCAAGCTTATTACTACAGTGAGCGTCTACATGGTAACTCTGATTGTTGTCATTTTTCAGCTTCACATATTTGTGTCTCTACAATGGAGGTGACAGGGATATGCCATTCACTTCCCTTGTCTCAGGCACACCAAGAGGACGTGAGATCCAGGAGACTATACTGTAAAAAGCATTGACGCAATCCCCGCCGTGGTGGGAATCAGACCTGTCCGAGTCATGCGAGATGGAAGTAATGCAAGCTTGGCCTAGATACGTTATCTGTGAAGGAAAGATGGAATGTGACAGGCTGAATGGACGTCATCTTATCAGAAATGGACATGTCTCCTGCATGGAATCGCTCCATTTATGGATTTGGCAAAACTAGCCACTTAAGACTATTACTATAGGAATATGTTTATATCCCTTTGTTAAGCTGTGAGAACCAAGCATAATGCTGTATTTATTTCCTTGGATTATTTTATGCTGTTCCTGTTACCCAGCGGAGATACTGTGGATTATACTACCTCTCCGCTACAATGGAACAGCGACTCACAACTCAACCCACTATGTACAGGAATATACAGAGTAAAAGCAGCACCGGCACAGGTTTTATTTAGGCCAATAGAGCTTTAGTTTAATATAACAGGAAGACATGCACTAATTAATAAGAATTTCACACAGAGACCAGCCATGGAATAGATCGATCGATGGTGGATTTATATGGAGAAGGTCACACTACTCTAAATAGAACAATCATGCAGAGTGGGTGTTGGCAGCAATTAAACAGATTCTAAACTCCTACAGACAGCGACTGGCTCGTTAGAATACGGATAATTAGATTTCAGCCACCGCCTGTCTGAGGAAGAGATGCTGGACAGAACGGGGGGCACAGAGGTGTGCTAGGCATTCCCATAGGGCCTCAAACTCCAACCCTCCAGATGTTGCTGAACTACAACTCCCATGATTCTTTGAATTACATAGATAGCCAGAGAATCATGGGAGTTGTAGTTCAGCAACATCTGGAGGGCTGGAGTTTGAGGACCCTTGCCATAGGGGATAAATTAACATTTTACCTTTTGGACCAAATAGGGCAGCGTAGCATGGTTTGTGGCAGTATGGACGTCCATCATGCTGGAAATACAAAACAAGATATTAGCACATAAATCCCTCATGTGGGCAGACCGAGCTGGTTGGGGAGGGGGTAATGCTTGTACCACTATCAAAATGCTGAGTGTGGAGGGAAGCTATTAACACTTTAAATTGTGAAATACCCACCATTCGATTTCTCCTGCAAACATTGCAATACGGATAAACATTTTGGGAATTCTGTCTGCATTCCTAGTATTCAGCAGACGCCTCAGGAATGTCCCACCATCTCCCCAGCCCAGAGATTGCCACTTCCTCTGCAAGATGAGGGCCAGTGCCCCTTAAACCATTCTTACCGTGCCATCATATATCACAGGGTCCCCCCGAACAGCACAGGGGGGCTGCAAATACCCATACAGCACAGGGTGACTGCATCATATTATTACAGCCAGCTAGAGTGTCAGCTTTTGGGCAGCCTCTCTGCATCATACTATTACAGCCAGCTAGAGCGTCAGCTCCTGGGCACCCTCTCTGCATCATACTATTACAGCCAGCTAGAGCGTCAGCTCCTGGGCACCCTCTCTGCATCATACTATTACAGCCAGCTAGAGCGTCAGCTCCTGGGCACCCTCTCTGCATCATACTATTACAGCCAGCTAGAGCGTCAGCTCCTGGGCACCCTCTCTGCATCATACTATTACAGCCAGCTAGAGCGTCAGCTCCTGGGCACCCTCTCTGCATCATACTATTACAGCCAGCTAGAGCGTCAGCTCCTGGGCACCCTCTCTGCATCATACTATTACAGCCAGCTAGAGCGTCAGCTCCTGGGCACCCTCTCTGCATCATACTATTACAGCCAGCTAGAGCGTCAGCTCCTGGGCACCCTCTCTGCATCATACTATTACAGCCAGCTAGAGCGTCAGCTCCTGGGCACCCTCTCTGCATCATACTATTACAGCCAGCTAGAGTGTCAGCTTTTGGGCAGCCTCTACAATATATGTAAAAGAAGGAATGCCGAAGCTCTGAATTCCTAAAGTGCTCTTTCAGTAACCATTCGCTCCCCTGCTGGAGGAGTTTTTATTTCTCGACAGACACAGAGTTTGGATGCGGTTTGTCATTCCTCATTAAAGCAGCTTTTGTTGTGTCTGGTTATTAGACAGGTATGAACACGCTGCATTATTCCCTTCTCAATGCAGACATACAATAGATCGGCAGACAAATGTTCCCAGGCTCCTTCCCCAACACGGAGCCTCGCTTCTATAAACGAACCCAATACAGAAAATCAAAAAGGCTCTGACTGCATCTTTAGTCATACAGCACAGATAATGGCAAGTACAGGATGGTGGGAATTGTAGTGCAAAAATGGGATAAGAAAAGATAATTGTAAGCACACCCCATCCTTCCCTCGATCTACCAATAACCAAATACTGTAGCTGTGTTCAATGGGATAGGGAGATATGTCAATCATCAGAATAAAACCTGATTGTAAAGTACTTTGAGCTAATAGAAATGGTTGTCAGAAAGAGGTAGTGGATGCATGGCAGAGACATCAAGTAGCGGTGACAATGACACAATAAGTTCCAGCACAGAATATAAGGCATTCTATAAAACCTCCAGCTTAGCTTTCCTTACCTCGCCGGTGGGTATCTTACCTCTGCATGCCCGCCCGCACACAGGATTTTGTTACATAGTTCACATTTCAAGCAGAAGCGATGCCAATTCTTTCCCAAGGAGCTGACCTTCTCAGCTGAATGGAAACAGAGACAAAACGTTAAGTTATTTCCGGGGAACGCAACAAAATGAACCCCCTAATAATAGACAGTCTGAATATTACAACCGCAGGAGAAAAATACGCATCTCAGTGCTGCCGGGACCCAATATTGTATAAACATATCTGACTGCTACGTTGTCAGTATTCAAAATATACTATATATCGTGTCCCTTTATTACATGGAGAGTTCCTGTCAGTCAGTATAGAATATAAACTACTTATAATAGCCCCATCGTGCCCCTTTATTACATGGAGAGTTCCTGTCAGTCAGTATAGAATATAACCTACTTATAATAGCCCCATCGTGCCCCTTTATTACAGCGAGTATATTCTGTCAGTATAGAATATAACCTACTTATAATAGCCCCATCGTGTCCCTTTATTACAGCGAGTATATTCTGTCAGTATAGAATATAAACTACTTATAATAGCCCCATCGTGTCCCTTTATTACATGGAGAGTTCCTGTCAGTCAGTATAGAATATAAACTACTTATAATAGCCCCATCGTGCCCCTTTATTACAGCGAGTATATTCTGTCAGTATAGAATATAACCTACTTATAATAGCCCCATCGTGTCCCTTTATTACAGCGAGTATATTCTGTCAGTATAGAATATAAACTACTTATAATAGCCCCATCGTGTCCCTTTATTACATGGAGAGTTCCTGTCAGTCAGTATAGAATATAAACTACTTATAATAGCCCCATCGTGCCCCTTTATTACAGCGAGTATATTCTGTCAGTATAGAATATAACCTACTTATAATAGCCCCATCGTGTCCCTTTATTACAGCGAGTATATTCTGTCAGTCAGTATAGAATATAAACTACTTGTAACATTCCCATCGTGTCCCTTTATTACATGGAGAGTTCCCATCGCTCAGTATAGAATATAAACTACTTATTACAGCCCCATCGTGTCCCTTTATTACATTTTCATATTTAGTTGCGCGGAGTTGCCGCGACTGTCCGTGTTACACTGTTTTTTTTAAGAATTTGGTCACATTTACGTATTCTTCCAGAAATGTTAGCCAATTGACCCACTTTGATGTAACATACCTGGACTGCATGAATAAGCAATACAAAACAAGAATATACAGTGCAACTTTATAGTCCCTAACACAGCCTCGCCATACAAGCCACAATCATGGCTGCAATACAGCACAAGTTAGCAATTTCTGGTATCCCCTGGCAAACTACTCAGATCAATCGGTCCACCCACCATACATCAGAGGACAACTCAAGATGGCCACCAATTACCCCACCAGCTCAGAGCCCACCAACCACTCCACCGCCAGCTGGCCACCAACCACCCCGTGATGTCAGATCCGGCTCCAGCTGGCCATCACCCACCCCGGGTCAGAGCCCGCCAACTGACCCCCCAAGTAACAGCCCACCTCCAGCTAGCCACCAAACATCCTGCCAGGTCAGAGACAGCCTCCAGCTGGCCACCACCCACCATGCCAGCTCAGAGCACGCCAAACACCCCGACAGGTAACAGCCCACCTCCAGCTGGCCACCAACTACCCTGCCATGTCAGAGCCCGCCAACATCCCCGCCAGCTCAGAGCCCGCCTCCAGCTGGCCACCAACCACCCTGCCAGCGCAGAGCACACCAAACACCCCGACAGGTAACAGCCCACCTCCAGCTGGCCACCAACCACCCTGCCAGCTCAGAGCCAGCGTCCAGCTGGCCACCAACCACCCTGCCAGCTCAGAGCCAGCCTCCAGCTGGGCATCAACCACCCTGCCAGCTCAGAGCTAGCCTCCAGCTGGGCACCAACCACCCTGCCAGCTCAGAGCCAGCCTCCAGCTGGCCACCAACCACCCTGCCAGCTCAGAGCCAGCCTCCAGCTGGGCACGAACCACCCTGCCAGCTCAGAGCCAGCTTCCAGGTGGCCACCAACCACCCTGCCAGCTCAGAGCCAGCCTCCAGCTGGGCATCAACCACCCTGCCAGCTCAGAGCTAGCCTCCAGCTGGGCACCAACCACCCTGCCAGCTCAGAGCCAGCCTCCAGCTGGGCACCAACCACCCTGCCAGCTCAGAGCCAGCCTCCAGCTGGGCACCAACCACCCTGCCAGCTCAGAGCTAGCCTCCAGCTGGCCACCAACCACCCTGCCAGCTCAGAGCCAGCCTCCAGCTGGGCACCAACCACCCTGCCAGCTCAGAGCCAGCCTCCAGCTGGCCACCAACCAAAACTTATTAAACATATATTTTAACAGAGAATAAGAAGTACATTATTTATGCTGTTTAAAAAGAGTTTCCAAGAAATGTGAAACAGATAAGGGGTTTTTGCTGCAGTCGAATGGCATTGGAGGAGAAGAAACATTTACGGTTGTGTTTTTTCCCCCCTCTCTTTATGCCCTCTGTACTGACTGCGAGCTGCCGTATAATGATTGAGGGAGGCACCCAGTTCTAACTGAACCACCTTGCCAAGCATACAGGTAATAGAAAGGGGGCTTTAGGTCACACATCCGCTCTAAACATAGAAAAACATGCAGAATCAGCCGTTTACAGAAACATTCGGTCAGTTGGGGACGAGTTAAACCTGGTATAACACCATTAAATAAACAATTAAAAATCACCTATAACTTGGATTAACCTTCTTCCCATACATGCAGTTTTCTTTCAAATGGATGTATTAAAATCCAATTTAAACAAGTCACAGCTGTGCCTTGAATTACTGCACAGCAGGGTCCAAAAACTGTAAAACTGACAATTTACAGAGCAGTTCCAATCATCCTACGTGAAGAATGGAACCAAAGCTGTGGATAAACTACTCATCCCATAAACTACTGCTGGCAGTGATCCGAGGCACAGACTGGAATGAGAGGCTCGTGATTGACGGAGCCTGTCTGACAATGACTGACGCATAGACCGGAATGAAAGGCTGGTGATTGGAGGAGTCTGTCTGTCAATGATCGATGCATAGACCGGGAATGAGAGGCTCGTGATTGGTGGAGTCTGTCTGACAATGATCGATGCATAGACCGGGAATGAGAGGCTCGTGATTGGTGGAGTCTGTCTGACAATGATCGATGCATAGACCGGGAATGAGAGGCTCGTGATTGGTGGAGTCTGTCTGTCAATGATCGATGCATAGGCCGGGAATGAGAGGCTCGTGATTGGTGGAGTCTGTCTGACAATGATCGATGCATAGACCGGAATGAAAGGTTCGTGATTGGTGGAGTCTGTCTGAAGTTACAGCCAACCATGATAAGCTCTGCCGCTATGTAATCATTTTAAAGGGAAAGAATGGATAAAATTTTCACTGACCACGTGTAAATTGGGAACCAGATTACAGCATTCTGAGCCACTGAAACAGGCTAAACTTTGGGGTTCATTACATCCGTTCAAGAGCTGTTTTACTAAGGTCAGACGTTAATGAAGTTTGTGACTTATGTCCAGATTCTCCAAATAGCCCAGTTTGTCCTGGATATTTTCTGCAATTTTGACGAGGTTTCATTCATAACTAAACTGTGTAAAGCCAGGCATTCATTAAGGAATTGCTAAACAAAGACATTGGAGCTATAATCATAGTGGACTTCGAGACAATTCCTGGTTTAGTGAGTAAGCCAGTCTAAGCCTCCTAATATTGATCCTCCTCTCTCGCGCTCCCTACAAGTTAGTGGTATCCACATCAGTCCATCCTTGCAAGCGCGCTTTCTTGGCGTCATACTTGATTCTGGCCTCACCTTTGAGCCTCACATCCAGTATGTTGCCAAATCCTGTAGATTCCATTTTAAAAACATAGCCCGCATCCGCCCCTTTCTTACGCAGGATGCTAACAAGGAGCTTGTCCATGCTCTAGTAATTTCCAGCATGGATTACTGTAACTCTCTCCTAATTGGTCTTCCCAAAAGCCGCATTGCCCCATTACAATCTGTAATGAATGCTTCCGCCAGACTGATTTTCCTCTCCAGTCGGTTCTCTCACACCTCACCCCTCTGTCAGTCCTTACATTGGCTCCCTGTATCCTATAGGAGTCAATTCAAAATACTAACCCATACCTATAAAGCACTGAACAATTCTAGCCCCTCATATCTCTTCACAGATCCTTCCCGCTCAGTCCCTGCTGGCAATTGGCGTCCAGCCTGCTCATGGAATCTGCCTGTCAGCATTCTGTGGGTCAGTTGGCCAGACTGGAGCAATCCAACTCACACTACACTGAGCCGACACAGGACCAGTGAACGCCCAGACTGGAGCAATGCAAATCACACTACGCTGAGCCAACACAGGACCAATAAATGGCTAGACTGGAGCAATCTAACTACACTACACGCAGCCAACACAGGACCAGTGAGCGGCCAGACTGGAGCAATCTAACTACACTACACGCAGCCAACACAGGACCAGTGAGCGGCCAGACTGGAGCAATCCAACTCACACTACACTAAGCAGACACAGGACCAGTGAGCGGCCAGACTGGAGCAATCCAACTCACACTACACTAAGCAGACACAGGACCAGTGAGCGGCCAGACTGGAGCAATCCAACTCACACTACACTAAGCAGACACAGGACCAGTGAGCGGCCAGACTGGAGCAATCCAACTCACACTACACTAAGCAGACACAGGATCAGTGAGCGGCCAGACAGGAGCAATTCAAATCACACTACCCTCAGCCAACACAGGTTCAGTGAGCAGCCAGACAGGAGCAATTCAAATCACACTACACTCAGCCAACACAGGATCAGTGAGTGGCCAGACTGGAGCTATCCAACTCACACTACACTCAGCCAACACAGGTTCAGTGAGCGGCCAGACTGGAGCAATCCAACTCACACTACACTGAGCCGACACAGGACCAGTGAACGCCCAGACTGGAGCAATGCAAATCACACTACGCTGAGCCAACACAGGACCAATAAGTGGCTAGACTGGAGCAATCTAACTACACTACACGCAGCCAACACAGGACCAGTGAGCGGCCAGACTGGAGCAATCTAACTACACTACACGCAGCCAACACAGGACCAGTGAGCGGCCAGACTGGAGCAATCCAACTCACACTACACTAAGCAGACACAGGACCAGTGAGCGGCCAGACTGGAGCAATCCAACTCACACTACACTAAGCAGACACAGGACCAGTGAGCGGCCAGACTGGAGCAATCCAACTCACACTACACTAAGCAGACACAGGATCAGTGAGCGGCCAGACAGGAGCAATTCAAATCACACTACCCTCAGCCAACACAGGTTCAGTGAGCAGCCAGACAGGAGCAATTCAAATCACACTACACTCAGCCAACACAGGATCAGTGAGTGGCCAGACTGGAGCTATCCAACTCACACTACACTCAGCCAACACAGGTTCAGTGAGCGGCCAGACAGGAGCAACCCAACTCACACTACACTGAGCAGACACAGGTTCAGTGAGCGGCCAGACAGGAGCAATTCAAAATCACACTACACTCAGCAAACACAGGATCAGTGAGTGGCCAGACTGGAGCAATCCAACTCACACTACACTCAGCAAACACAGGATCAGTGAGCGGCCAGACAGGAGCAATCCAACTCACACTACACTCAGCAAACACAGGATCAGTGAGTGGCCAGACTGGAGCAATCCAACTCACACTACACTCAGCAAACACAGGATCAGTGAGTGGCCAGACTGGAGCAATCCAACTCACACTACACTCAGCAAACACAGGATCAGCGAGCGGCCAGACAGGAGCAATTCAAAATCACACTACACTCAGCAAACACAGGATCAGTGAGTGGCCAGACTGGAGCTATCCAACTCACACTACACTCCGCAAACACAGGATCAGTGAGTGGCCAGACTGGCAATGTAAATCTCAGTATGTTGAGGCAACACAGGATAAGTGAGCGGCCAGACATGAGATATGTAAATCACAGTATAGATTTGGGGTAGCACGGACTGGGAACCAGGGAGGGATGAAGAAAGAGGGTACCTGCAGGGTGCACATTGTTGTGGAAGAGTGTGGGGAGGAGGGGGTTAACTCTACTTGCCAACCCCCTCTCCCTGCCCCCCTGCCCTTCCACCACAAGGTGCACCCTGCAGGTACCCTCTTTCGCATTAAAGGGTTAAACATATTTGACTCACCAAAGAAGACAGGAGCGTGGCAGCGTGGGCACGGAGAGGTCATCCTGGTCTGGTCTGAGAAATTAACAACTTTCACTCACTATACACCAAGTCTCTCTCATTCAGCCCTCACTCAGGCTGCACTCACACTGCTCTCAGGATGCACTCAATGTTCAGTCTGAGACTCTGTAGCTCCAGCTGGACAGTAAGCCCTGCCCCTCAGCAGAAACTAATCCCATGGTGCTTTCTTATTAGCTGTCAAAGCTGTCAATCAATAAAGTAGACTCCACTCCTCCACCTTCTACCCACACATTGCATTCAGTGTATAATTATATTTATATACAAATATACCGTTACACTGAGTACACATTATAATATAATTATATACAGATATACCGTTACATTGTATACACATTATATTATATTTATATACAGATATACCGTTACACTGAGTACACATTATATTATATTTATATACAGATATACCGTTACACTGAGTACACATTATATTATAATTATATACAGATATACGGTTACACTGAGTACACATTATATTATAATTATATACAGATATACCGTTACATTGTATACACATTATATTATAATTATATACAGATATACCGTTACACTGAGTACACATTATATTATATTTATATACAGATATACCGTTACACTGAGTACACATTATATTATATTTATATACAGATATACCGTTACATTGAGTACACATTATATTTATATACAGATATACGGTTACACTGAGTACACATTATATTATATTTATATACAGATATACCGTTACACTGAGTACACATTTTATTATAATTATATACAGATATACCGTTACACTGAGTACACATTATATTATATACAGATATACCGTTACACTGAGTACACATTATATTATATTTATATACAGATATACCGTTACACTGAGTACACATTATATTATAATTATATACAGATATACCGTTACACTGAGTACACATTATATTATAATTATATACAGATATACCATTACATTGTATACACATTATATTATATACAGATATACCGTTACACTGAGTACACATTAAATTATAATTATATACAGATATACCGTTACACTGAGTACACATTATATTATAATTATATACAGATATACCATTACATTGTATACACATTATATTATATACAGATATACCGTTACACTGAGTACACATTAAATTATAATTATATACAGATATACCGTTACACTGAGTACACATTATATTATATACAGATATACCGTTACACTGAGTACACATTATATTATAATTATATACAGATATACCGTTACACTGAGTACACATTATATTATATACAGATATACCGTTACACTGAGTACACATTATATTATATACAGATATTCGTTACACTGAGTACACATTATATTATATACAGATATACCGTTACACTGAGTACACATTATATTATATTTATATACAGATATACCGTTACATTGAGTACACATTATATTTATATACAGATATACGGTTACACTGAGTACACATTATATTATAATTATATACAGTTATACCGTTACACTGAGTACACATTATATTATATTTATATACAGATATACCGTTACATTGAGTACACATTATATTATAATTATATACAGATATACCGTTACACTGAGTACACATTATATTTATATACAGATATTCCGTTACACTGAGTACACATTATATTATAATTATATACAGATATACGGTTACACTGAGTACACATTATATTTATATACAGATATACGGTTACACTGAGTACACATTATATTATATTTATATACAGATATACCGTTACACTGAGTACACATTATATTATAATTATATACAGATATACGGTTACACTGAGTACACATTATATTATAATTATATACAGATATACGGTTACACTGAGTACACATTATATTATATACAGATATACCGTTACACTGAGTACACATTATATTATATTTATATACAGATATACCGTTACACTGAGTACACATTATATTATAATTATATACAGATATACCGTTACACTGAGTACACATTATATTATATACAGATATTCGTTACACTGAGTACAGATTATATTATATACAGATATACCGTTACACTGAGTACACCTTATATTATTGTAACGGACCGTTTTGCACAAAAGGGGAAAAAAAACGCTTAGACGATAATCCCCCTTTCAGAGACAGGCACAGCTACTGTAGAATCACCAAAACTCATGAACTGAATACAAGTGAATGCTCCAAACTCCCGAACGGCATACAAGGGAATGCTCCAAACACTCGAACTGCATACAAGGGAATGGTCCAAACACTCGAACTGCATACAAGGGAATGGTCCAAACACTCGAACTGCATACAAGTGAATGCTCCAAACTCCCGAACGGCATACAAGGGAATAAGGTAGCACTCCAAATACACGAACAGGAACCATACGAATTGCTGCGACCAGACGAACAGGAAAAGCTCCCAAGCGGCTTACACTCCTGGCAATCAGTCCTTAGCAGCATACAGTAAATCCCCCCAAAGACGAGACAAGGCTCCGTGTTGAGGGTCAAGCAGTGGTCTGTTTAATGAGGGCTACCTGCCCAGTATTTATGCAGGTCTCCCACCTGGTGGACACTCCTCTAGGGGACCAAATGGGAGACTGTGACAAGGGACAGACAAGCAGACAAATAGGACACACAGTCACGGTATATTCCCACAATGCATCCTGGCTTCCTCCCCTCTGCCCTGGGAGATAATTGGGAAGTAATTCAATTATCTCACAAGACAAAGGCAAAACTCCATTACACACGTGGGAACACAAAACAGCATTATACTTTAAAATGCACAAAGTAACATTTACTACATAAACCACAGACATGTAACATATCCCCAGATAGCTAAGGTCTGAGTGCACATTATTTGGTGAATGGCACTCAGACTACACGAATACAGTTCAATCGCCATGGAGCCAAAGTCTTTACAGTCAGTTTCATACGAATGGGCTCCATGGGATTCCTATCTGGGGTATAAGACATTCACACAAAAATACCGAACACCGGGTCATTCGTGTGCTTTCCCCGAACAAGAAGTGAGGTCGGCGGCTTCAGCGGTGTTCGCGCAAAACTGTGTCCGATTTTAGTTCCATGAAAATAGAGGCGAACACCGCTGTTTATTCGTATGGTTTAAAATGGCCGCGACCTCGTGTTCGGGATACGAACGGCGGCCACCCAGCGTTCATCAATTAAACTGCGGTTAACCGCAGCTTCAGGGAGGTTAATTGCCGGCACACTCCAGCTCCCAGGTGGTCCAGTCATTCGTACGGTTGTTCGGTAGATTGAAACTACCGAACAACCGGCAGAAAAGCATGAATATGGCTTCTCTGCATGGAAAAATAAAGTCTTTTAAAAGGGGGCCATAGTCCAAAGGCAGCAGGTGAGCAACCAGGCTTCTCCAATGCAATGTGGCGAGATTGGTCTCGTCACATCTCTCCCCTTTTCCAAACAGACTAACAGGGTATCTGACCTCCTGCCGGTCAGTGCCCTTGTTAGTCCAGCAGCCCACCCACAACAAATAATCAACAGCACAGCCCTCCCACAATAAATGGTTACTACACCTGGGTAAAGGGGAAGCTTGTCCATGTCCAGGTGCCTCACCACGGCTGTGCTGGGTACGGGTACGCTGACTTGGTGGGTTGCTGCGTGGGCAGAGACCAGCGGCACTCTGCCCTGTTGCCCGCGCTACTGGGAGGGTAGCCTGGTGGAAGCCTGGTTGTTGGAGGGGGAGACCGACTGTCTCCCCTTTAAATACACCGCTCTGCTGCTGCTGCTGGAGACTGACTGTCTCCCCTTTAGATGCACAGTCCTGCTGCTGGAGACCGACCGTCTCCCCTTTAGCTGCACAGTCCTGCTGCTGGAGACCGACCGTCTCCCCTTTGGTTACCCATCTCTGCTGCTGGAGGGGGAGACTGATTGTCGCCCCTTTGGCTAAACAGCCCTGTCGCTGGGGGGCAGGACCGACCGTCCCTACCCCCTGTGCTGGCAGTGTAGAGACTACGGTCCCATCTGCACGGTTGTGGGGCTTACTGTCTCCCCTTTGTACATTAAGCTGCCGCTGGGGAGAGGGGGTAACAAGCTCCTCTCCCATACATACTTCCAGCTGTGGGGGAGGGAGACCGACTGTCTCTGCTCCCAATACAGAGTCCTGCTGCTGGGGAAAGGAGACTGGGCTCTCTATTCCCGGTAGGACACTCTGCCGCTGGGGAATGGAGACGGGCTCCCAATTCCCAATGATCTGTGCTGCCGCTGGGGAATGGAGACTGGGCTCCCAATTCCCAAAGCATCATACTGCCGCTGGGGAATGGAGACTGGGCTCCCAATTCCCAAAAAATCACGCTGCCGCTGGGGAGGGAGGACACTGCTCTCCTCTCCCTGGACTTCCCACTGCCTTCCCGGCATATCACTTGGCTGCTGGGGGGCAGGAACAACTACCTCTGCCCCCTGTATCTCAGCCTGCCGCTGGGGAGGGAGGACGCTGTTCTCCTCTCCCTGCACTTTACACTGCCTTCCCGGCATATCACTCTGCTGCTGGGGGGCAGGAACAACTACCTCTGCCCCCTGTAACTCAGCCTGCCGCTGGGGAATGGAGCTCAGGCTCCCAATTCCCTGCAATATCTCCCGCTGGGGAATGGAGCTCGGGCTCCCAATTCCCTGCAATTCATTCTGCTGCTGGGGGACAGGAGCGACTATCTCTGTCCCCTGTAACTCAGCCTGCCGCTGGGGAATGGAGCTCAGGCTCCCAATTCCCTGCAATATCTCCCGCTGGGGAATGGAGACTGGGCTCCCAATTCCCAATAAATCACACGGCCGCTGGGGAATGGAGACTGGGCTCCCAATTCCCTGCAGAACCGGTGGAGAGACCTCGGTCCCATCTCTACCGGCCACCTGGGGTTCTTCCCAGAAAATATCCACAATGTCTTCCCAGCTGAATGGGTCTGGTTCTGGCTCTGTCACCTTGCTGTCCTGCTGAATCTTCTCAATGGAGTGGAAGAGATCTCGGTA